CACACGCCTCCCTCTGCGCAGCGCCTCCTACCTGCCGCGCCGCCGCGGCTCGGGCCGGACTCGGACTCAGGGCACGGCGCGGGCACGGGAACCCGGGCAGCACCGGCCTCCGGCTCGGGCGGGGATCCCTCTGGGGCTGGCCTGGGGCGGGGGCGCGAGCTCGGACTCCCGGGCAGCGGCCGCCCCGCCCCGCGGCCTCCGCCCGTTTGGGGACAGAGGCGTGGTCTCCTGCGGGCGGGCGGGCCCGGATTGCGGCGCAGGCGAACTGGCTACGTGCCGAGGGGCGAAGCGGCGGGGAGGCGGCCGCCGAGTTCCCGCTGGGCGGTAGGAGGGGGACTCGGGGCCAGCGCGGCTCGGCCCGACCCCTCTCGGCTCGATCAGGCCCCGGCTCTCCCTCCCTCCGTCCCAAATCTCGCACTGTCCGCCATGGAGCATCTCCGGGAGCGCCCCCAGGGCCGAGCCCCCGTCTGCCCGCGGGTTGTGTGCCAGCGCCGCGGAAGGCTTGCAGGCCGGCCGAGCTTTGGGCATGCATCTTGCAGGGGCCAAAACAGGGGGCTGGGAAAAGAGGAACCTGAAGGGGCGAGTGCCCATCTCTTCCCCAGGTCCGAGGTTGGGGATGAGGAGGGGGAACCTAGAGCCCCCGTGGGGGCACACGCAGGAAGGCCCCGGTCGGATGCGGAAAGCTGGCCCCAGGCCCATAGTGAGCGTTTCCGCGCGCTCTGATAGGCCTGCCACAGCAGTGGCGTGTGTCTGCAGTGAGGCTGAGAAGGTGTGTACAACGACCAACCGCGGCACACAGTAGGGGCGCAGGGCTGTGGATAGCGCTGCCTCTCTGATCTGTGCCAGCCCACTCGGCAGATGGAGAAACTCCGGCCCGCTCACCGGGGTTCTCAGTCTCGGTTAATGATCTCATTAACCTCTCAGGCACTCAGACCGCCGGGCCACCACCTCACAATCTCTGTCCCAGACCTCCCAGATGTTTCTCCGCGGGGTGCAGCTCCAGCCCCACTTCCTCCTCCCCCCCCCCCACCCCGCAGTCCCTCTCCAGCCAAGGGAGACTTTCAAAGACGCAGCCATGACCGGCCACCCACAGAACGTTGTTCCAAAACTGCCCCTGTGCCTGACTCCCCCACTCACACCCCATTGGCCGGCCTGTGCCCTGGCTGCAGCCTCCCCAGACCCCAGGCTCCTCTCGAGGCCGCCGCCTCCCCCACCCTCAGACCTCGTTCACGCCGCTCTCCGGCTGTCTGGAAGGCTCTTCCTGCCCTCTCCGGGAGGCAAGGGCTGATAATCAGGCCTCTAGAGCCAGGGCCTCCATCCCCGAGCCCAACCCCCACCTCTCCACTCCGAGGCCCCACCCCCTTCTTCAGCGTTCCCACCCTGTTGTTTGTGTTTCCTCCCTGGCCCTGAATTCTCGCTGCCTCTCTTAAGAGCCAGTGGTGGAGTCTTGGCCTCCGTCCCTGTGAGGTTGAGGCTCATTCTGGGGAAGACAGTACTAGTGGGGGAAGCCAGGCGGGTCTGGCTCCAGGGCTCCTTCGGCCCGTTACCGGCTGTGTGATCCAGGCAAGTCCTCTAGCCCCTTTCCGTGATGATCAGGTACAGGCAAATCGTGGGGCCAGATACGGCCCCATCATGCAGGGTGTTGGGTCATGTCTGAGAAAACATTTGCCTCAGCCTGTAAAAACAGTGGATGTTGGGTGCCCCTTTTGTTTTCAGATGTTGGAACCACAAGAAGAGTGTCATATGGTGATCCCAAGCATGAACTCAGGACTCACTGCCTGGGCTCCTATCAGTGTGACCTGGGGCAAGTCACCTAACCTCTCTGCTTCCTACAAAATCAATCTAGTAGCCTTCACATTATGGGGTTGTGGGAATTAAATGGGCCATCCCTGTGAAGCCCCTAGAGGGGCCCCTGGCTCAGAGTAAGTGCCCGGCACAGTTCAGCTGATGCTATGTTCATCCAGTCCAACCCCCTCATTTTGTGAAGACACTGGGTCTTGTACATGTACACATGGTTAGTTAGAAGCCCAGGCATTCCAGAAGGTCAGAACTGCGAGGGCCCACTCTGAGCCCATCAGTACCCACCTTCTCTGACAGATGAGGAGAGAGGCCTAGAGAGAGACCGTGACCTGTCCAGGGCACCCATCCTGGTTAGGGGTGCGGGGAGGCACCGGCCCTACTCTTGTTGAGGGGGGGAGTTGTGCATGGTCTGCAGACAAGCCGGGAAGAACCTGGTCTCCCAGCAAGCTTGAGGAAGGGGTGAGGCTCTAATGATGCTCTGGTGGTACTCAGTTTTCATAAACTGAGTCATCGGCTGGTGCCGTCCCAGGGCCTGCTGGGTAGGTGCTTTTCCCATTAAATTCTCACAGCCAGCCTCTGCAGGAGCCCTCATTAGGCCCATTTCGCAGATGATAGAAATGAGCCTCAGGGAGATGCCCCAGTCACACAATTAGAAAATGGCAGAACTGGGATCCACACCTACCCACTCTTGTGCCCTTTTCCTCCCCCTCCTCCTCTTCTCTCCCCCAGGGAAAAGCCACCTCTGTAGACCCCTTGACTGGCTAGCCAATCTCCGCTTGCATCCCCCTGTAACTGGGAGCTCATTCCCTCACAGGGCAGCTCTTTCAACTCCTCTTGGAAGAGTCTTTTGTCCCCCAAAGCTAACCTACCGCCCATTCCATAGTGCTGCAGGTCTCCATACCCCCCACCTCACCAGAGCCTGGGCACAGAATCTTCTCTGCTCCAGTCCAGAACACCTTTATCTTGACTGCTTCTGTGAGTAACAAGGGTTCCCAGGTGAAACTCTTACAATAATAATAATCTCTTTCAAAAATCTCAACAGATGTAATTGGCTAGCTATTGTTTGAGAAACCTAAAGGAAGCCCCTCGGCATGGGGAGTGGCTGGTGTCTTGGGGGAAAGAGTCAAATAACCATGTCTACAAGTTCCCCTACTCCCATCTAGCCAAGAGGCTGTAGGGAGGACTGTAGCCAAGGATTATAGGGAGAGAGATGAGTCAGACACTCAGAACTTTCAGGTTGGGAGAGGTTGCTAATGGTATTCTCCTGAGAGTGCAGGAAATGGGAAGGTCACAATGGACTTCCAGCAGACACATGGAAAATGGTGATACAGAGGACAAGATTACCTTTCAGTTGCTCTTAATCCCATGACTCTCTGAAACATTGCCTGTATTTTGTTAGTATCCTGGATTTTATTAAGAACCATCCAGAAACAGGCACCTGGGTGGCTCAGTTGGTTAAGCAACGGCTCAGGTCATGATCCTGGAGTCTCAGGATCGAGTCCCGCATCAGGCTCCCTGCTCAGCAGGGAGTCTGCTTCTCCCTCTGACTCTCCCCCTCTCATGCTCTCTCTCTCTATCTCATTCTCTCTCTCAAATAAATAAATAAAATCTTAAAAAAAAAAAAAAAAAAGAACCATCCAGAACCAAGTGGAATTCATTCCAGGAATGCAAACTTGGTTTAACATTAGAGAATCCATTAAGAGCATTAGCTTACTAGGGCTGCCATCACAAAGTACCCCAAACAGGGCAGCTTAAACAACAGAAACGTATTGTCTCACAGTTCTGGAGCCTAGAAATCCAAGATCAAGTGTCATTAGGGTTGGGTCCTTCTGAGGGCTGTGAGGGAGAATCTGTTCTGTGCCTTCCTCCTCGTTTCTGGTGGTTGGCTGGCAATCTTTGGCATTTTTTTTTAAAGATTTTATTTATTTATTTATTTATTTATTTATTTATTTATTTATTTATTTATTTGAGAGAGAGAGAAACAGCATGAGAGGGGAGAGGGCCAGAGGGAGAAGCAGGCTCCCCGCTGAGCCAGGAGCCCGATGTGGGACTCGATCCCAGGATTCCAGGATCATGACCTGTCCCTCTGCCTACTTGTGCTCTCTCTCTGTCAAATAAATAAATAGAATCTTTAAAAAAAAAAAGATTTTTTTATTTATTTGCTTGACAGAGAAAGAGAGAGCACAAGCGGGGGGGTGGCAGGCAGAGGGAGAAGCAGGCTCCCCGCCGAGCAGGGAGCCCGATGTGGGACTCGATCCCGGGACTCCAGGATCGTGACCTGAGCTGAAGGCAGTCGCTTAACCGACTGAGCCACCCAGGTGCCCCAGACACACCATTAAGTGAAAAAAAGCAGAGGCTGAAAGAGTGTCTATATAGTATGCTGCTCTTCATATCAGAAAGAAGAGAATATAAGAACACACACAGGGATCTGCTCATTTGGGCAAAGGAAATACAGGAAGGACAGTCTGGGAGACTGGTTCCTGAGGCACAGGTGGGGAGGGGTGGAGAGAACAGGGAATGGGAACCGGAGAGCAGGGAAGTGGAGAGAGTGATTTGTCTCCAACTGTATCTTTGTACATGTGTATTATTGAGATATAATTTACAACCATACAATTCACCCTTTTGAAATGTAAGATTTTAGTCTGTTGCAAAGATTTTAGTCTGTTGCAAAATGGTACAGTGATCACCATGATCTCATTCCAGAATATTTTCATCTTCCCATTAGCAGTCACTCCCCCTTGCCTCCCCCCAACTCCAGGTGACCATGAAACTACTTTATGTGTTTATGGATTTGCTGTTCTGGACATTTCATACAAATAGAATCAAATAACAGGTGGCTTTTGGCGTCTGGCTGCTTTCGCCCAGCAGAATGTTTTCACGGGTCATGCATGTCGTAGCATGGATCAGGATACCCATTCCATTTTATGGCTGGATAATATTCCACTGTATGTATATACTGCATTTTCCTTATCCATTCATTTGTTGATGGACCTTTGGTATTTTTCCACTTTGGAACTATTATGGATAATGCTGCTATGAACATTCACGTACAAGGATTTGTATGAACCCATGTCTTCAATTCTTTGGGGTATATACTTAGGAATGGAATTATTGGGTCATAGAGTAACTCCAGGTGACATTTTTTTTTTAAAGATTTTATTTATTTATTTGAGAGAGAGAGAATGAGAGAGAGCACATGAGAGGGGGGAGGGTCAGAGGGAGAAGCAGGCTCCCTGCCGAGCAGGGAGCCCGATGCAGGACTCGATCCAGGGACTCCAGGATCATGACCTGAGCCGAAGGCAGTCGCCTAACCAACTGAGCCACCCAGGCGCCCAGTGACATTTTTTGAGGAACGGCCAGACTGTTTCCCAAAAAGCCCAGAGCATCCTCATAAGAACCTTGACCCTCCCCATCAAGCCTGTGAAGCTGAAGTTCCTGGGTGAAACCTGAACCAGCCCTGCTCCCTCTCATGCCTTCTGCTAGCACTCTAAAGCTCCAAGCCCCATTCCACCTCCCATGACCTCTGGACTCCTTCTACTCCTCTCTCCCTTGCTCCCCTGCTCCCCATCTCCTCACTCTCCCCAGGACTCTCTCCTGCCCCTCAGATCCCTTCACCTGCAGCCGAATGAACTTTCTGAAATACACATCCAATCTCCTACTCTATTGCTTCAAACTCTTGAAAGCAGGAGAAAAGAATAAAGGATGACATTTGACAAACTAATGTCATTTCTGGGTTTTGGGGAGCATCAGAATTGACCTTCTGGAAAGACTGTTCTTCTACTGGGTAAATTATGTAAATGAACCTGTTGATTACTCAAAGGCCAGGCTGAGTCTAGGCAGGAGGGAAGAAGAGGGTCACCAACCCTACAGAATAATTCTGTAAATGACCATCCCAGGGTGGAGAGGGGCCAGCTCTAAAAATCGTTCTAATGTAGATTTAACTCGGAGAGATTGGCAGTTTCCCCTGGCGGCCTCCAGGGGCAGGGGTGCGGGGCACCCAGGTGAGGAAGCTGAGGTGGGCCTGACCTTGGAGCTCCACCCTCCCCCCTGCCTCGGAGGGTTGCTGCCTCCCGCTCCCAGTGCCACTGACATGGGAGGGTCTGAGGAGGTTTTCCTCCCTCTAAAGGCAAGACAGATGTCGTGGTTGTGTGCGTATGTGCGCGCACAAATTACTGGCTGCGTCCTTCTCTCCAGAGTCCCGAGAGCCAGCCTCTGGCCTTGTGCAGCTGCAGCTTTGGACTCTGCGTGTGGCTGCCATCAGGCGTGGTGGCGAGGGCAGTGCTCAGGGCCCAGGAATGGCAGGCAGGAGGCCTGGGTCTAGAAGACTCGTGTGACCTTGAGCAGCTCATTCTCCCACCCGCGGGCCTCCGTCTCCACATCGGGCCAGTGGGGATGATAATAATCCCTGTTACCTGGTTGGGATAAGGATTCAAGGCAGTCCGGGACTTAGAGGTGCTTTACAACATGATGTCTCTCCATGTTAATTAAGATGTTAAAAAAAAACCCTCTTAAAATAATTTTTTATTATTTTCTTGCACGTCTTTTAGATTCATTCTTAGGTAGCTTTTTGTTTCTATTACGGTATTTTTTTTTTCTTTTAGAGAGAGAGCATGTGAGTAGGGTGTGGGGGGTAGAGCGGGAAGGTGCAGAGGGGGAGGGTGAGAGAGAATCTTAAGCAGGAGCCCTATATGGGGCTCGATCTCACAGCCCTGAGATCATGACCTGAGCTGAAATCAAGAGTCGGACCCTTAAGCAACTGAGCCACCCACGTGCCCCTCTATTATGGTGGTACTTTTAAAAAATGACTTTTCCTGACTGCTTATTACTACTATATAGAAATTAAATTGATTTTTGTATGTTGATTCTGTATCTGGAAAACTTGGTACTTTTAAAAATTAATCAATTATCTGCAAGATGTTTTTGTATGTGTTTTTTGGTGGGTTTTCTATATGTAGACTAATGGTTCTCAATGAGGTGTATTGCTCCCTATTTAAGAGATTTGGAAATTTATAAGGGTTTTTGTTGTTGTTGTTCTTGTTGTGCCCAAGAAATTACACATTACAATTCATACTACTTTATTTTAAAGTATTTTCTTTTTTTTTTTTTTAAAGATTTTATTTATTTGACAGAGAGAGACAGCGAGAGCAGGAACACAAGCAGGGGGAGTGGGAGAGGGAGAAGCAGGCTTCCTGCTGAACAGGGAGCCCGATGTGGGGCTCGATCCCAGGACTCTGGGATCATGACCTGAGCCGAAGGCAGACATTTAACGACTGAGCCACCCAGGCGCCCTAAAGTATTTTCTTTTACTAACCTAATATTAAAATTAAAGAATTATGGTGATTTTTTGACAATATATGTGTGGGGGCGCCTGGGTGGCTCAGTTGGTTAAGCAACTGCCTTCGGCTCAGGTCATGATCCTGGAGTCCCAGGATCGGGTCCCACATCGGGCTCCCTGCTCAGCAGGGAGTCTGCTTCTCCCTCTGACCCTCCCCCCTCTCATGTGCACTCTCTCTCTCTCTCATTCTCTCTCTCTCAAAGAAATAAATAAAATCTTTAAAAAAAAATATATATGTGTGGACAGATTAAATTATCCACGAATTTCACTTCAGGATAGGGAGTATGGCATTAATTTGTTATAGAGAGGGGAAATTGGACCTGATTGGACCTCAGGTTTTGATCATGTTCCTTCTTCTTTCAAGTCATTGTATCTTTGAATCTTTACCTTGCCTTGCTGTGCTCTCACGTCTTGGACAGAAGTGGTGATGGTGAGCACATCTAGTCTTGTACCAAATCTTAAAGGAAGTGCTTTCAACTTTTACAAAGATTTTTTTTTTTTTTAAATCACAAATGGCTGGGGCTCCTGGGTGGCTCAGTTGGTTAAGCGGTGGACTCTTGCTATGGGCTCAGGTCATGATCTCAGAATGGTGAGGTCCAGCTCCACCACCACTCCCTGCTGAGCGTGGTGTCTGCTTGAGATTCTCTCTCCCTCTCTCTCCCCCCAGCTTGCGCTCTCTCTCTGTATCTAAAAAGAAAGAAAGAAAGAAAAACAATCATAAATGGATGTTGAATTTTATCCATTTTTTTCTCCTGCACCAGAGATACATTTCTTTTGATATGATGTCCCACATTGACAGATCTTCCTTTTCTATCCATACATGGTGATTGCTTTTCTAATGCTAAATAAACCCACCTGGAATTTCTGGGATAAACCCATCCAGATGCTGATACAGTTTCCTGTTTTACATATTGTCAAGCTCCATCTGCAGGCATTTTACGTAGGATTTCGCAAGCGTGTTTGTGAGCGAGGCAGGCCCATCATTTTCTCTGCTTATGTGGTCCTTGTCAATTACCACCTGTCGGGTAACGGTTGTTGGAAGTACCCCCCGCCCCGCCCAGATTTTCACCTACCCAGGGACCGGACGCCAGCTTCCCCGCAGAAACCGTGTGCGGGGAGCGCCCCCTGGCGGCCCTGGGGCGCAAGAGCCTGAGGAGCCGGGCGGGGTGAGGGCCAGATGACAGCACACGAGGTGGCGCCAAGGCTCCGCGGGATGCTGGTCTTTGCTAGGCCTGGTGACGAGAGCAGCTCAGCTTCAGAGAAGGGGTGACCAGGATCCAGAGTGACACAGCAGTCCCATAACTACAGAGTTCTAACCCTTCTGAGCTGTACAGTTCCCGAGTCTTAATCTCTTTACCTATAAAGTGGGGATAATCCATCGGCTTTCAGGAAAATAGGAGGAAGCTGTCAAAGCACAGAAGTCAGACTTCCTAGAGAATAAGGAAGGTGTCCTCTCTTGGCCTCAGCATTCTTGTTTTCTTGTCTGTTACAAGCCCTTGATAAATGGCAGCTAGGGAGAAGGGGATTCAGGACTCGTGATAATTGTTCAGCATGACAGTCTGCATCAGGGAGGTCTGTGTGAAGGAAGAACATATGTTCATTCATTAATTATAGTTTATTATTTAATCATTGTTCATTTATTCAACAAATATTTATTGGACACTGGTAGGCAGAATAATGATCCCCAAGAGACGTCTGCACCCTCATCCTTGGAGCTTACAAATAGTTTAGGTTACAAGGGAAAAGGGAAGTAAGGTTGCAGGGGGAATGAAGGTTGCTGAAAATCGGAGGATAATCCTGGATTATCCAAGTGGGCCCAATGTGATCACAAGGATCCTTAAAAGTAGAAGGAGGAGCAGGAGTCAGAATTGCTGGTTTTGAAGATGGAGGAAGCTGAAAGAGGCCAGGAAAGGGATTCTCCCCAGAGCTCCAGTAAGGGATATAGTCCTGCTGGCACCTTGTTTTTTTTTTTTTTAAAGATTTTATTTATTTATTTGACAGAGAGAGACACAGCGAGAGAGGGAACACAAGCAGGGGGAGTGGGAGAGGGAGAAGCAGGCTTCCCATGGAGCAGGGAGCCCGAGGTGGGGCTCGATCCCAGGACCCCGGGATCATGACCTGAGCCGAAGGCAGACGCTTAACGACTGAGCCACCCAAGTGCCCCGACACCTTGGTTTTAACTCCATGAAGCTTGTGTTGGACTTCTGACCTACAGAACTGTAAGAGAATAAATTTGCATGGGTTTAAGCAGCCAGCTTTGTGGTAGTTTGTCACAGCTGTGGGAAACTAACACAGCATTCTTTGGGGCACAAGAGCAGATGTGGAGGGTTCTGGGGAATTCAGAGCTAGAACAAGGTAGAGTGTGAGGAGCCACCATGTTGAGAAGCTCTGTGTCCCAGGACTAGTGGGTTGAGAAGGGCTTTTCCAAGGAAGTGACATTTCACCTTGTATCTGAAGATTATATCAAATGAAGCAAGAGCTGGGTCATCTGGGTCGCTCAGTTGGTTAAGCAGCTGCCTTCGGCTCAGGTCATGATCCCAGGGTCCTGGGATCAAGCCCCGCATTGGGCTCCCTGCTCGGCGGGAAGCCTGCTTCTCCCTCTACCTGTCACTCCCCCTTCTTGTGCTCTTGCTCTGTCAAATAAATAAATAAAATCTTAAAAAAAAAAAATGAAGCGAGAGTAGAAAAATGTTTCAGGCAAGGAAACAGCATGGTGGAGGGCCCAGGGGCAAGAGAGAGTGCATCGAACCTCAAGAGGCCCCAGCAGAGTGAGAAATCAAGCAGGAGAAGTCAAAGGAATGCAGGTCAAACTGCCAGTCCCAGAAAGCATTTGCTTTTTATCCGAGGGCAATAGGGCTAGATTTTGAGAGGGGCCAAATTATGACCAGATCTGCCTTTCGGCTGCCGTAGCGTGGAGAGTGGATCCCTAGGAGGCTCTGGCCCACCTGAGAGCTCGTGGTAACCCAGGCCAGACTGGAGCCATGGAGAAGAAGATGGACAGATGAGAACTGACTGGAGGTAAAATCAATGGAACTTGGTGATGGACCAGATGGGTTGTGAGGGAGAAGGAGAGTTTGAGATGCATCATCACCTCCCATCTTCTGGCGTGGGCAAATAAGGTGATGATAGTGCCATTTACTGAGATGGGGACATGGGCGAGGGGGCAGGCCTGAGGTGGGCCTGCAGCACATTCAAGCTGAGGTGACCACCGAGGCAGTTGGATACGCATCAGGAGTTGGGTGAAGGCCTGTTGGAGATTCAGGGTAGACTCTGGGTCCTTGCAGTGAGAAAAAGAGGTTTCTCAACCTCAGCACTATTGATGTTTTGGGTAGAGCAGTTCTTTGTTTGGAGGTAGGCCTGGAATGTTGGCCTCATCTGCGAGGTCAGAGCTGGGTCACAGGCCCACCATGTTCCAATCCAGGGGAAGGGGAGGGTGAGCACAGGTGAGGCAGGGTTCAGGTGCGCTCCCCATGGTGTCCACTGTCATCTAAGAACACCTGGTCACAGGGCCACGCCTGTTTGCCACGGAAGCTGGGCAGTGTAGGCTAGGGAGGGGGCAGCAGATTTTGGCGGACAGCTGTAACCTCCTAAATGATGCGAGTGACGTGGGGGGTGGTGGCGGTTGGAAGGCATTTCCCGTGAAGGGATGAGAGCTTGTGTGGAGACTCAGAGGCAGGAGGGAGCCCCGCAAAGCAGGACTGCCTGTGGTTCTGCCCGGATCGAGTCCGCCAGCGGGGAGGAATGGGTCTTGTCCTGAGGGCAGGGAAGGCGTTTGGTCAGCCTCCTGACTTCCCACCCGGGCTCCTTCCTCCTTGAAGTTGTGTCCTTCTTGTCGTCTCCCACAGCTGGGACCTTGATACTCCTTCCTTCCTTCCTCCCTCCCTTTTTTCTCTGTCTCTTTCTCTCTCCCTCCTTCCCTCTCTCTCTCTCTTTCTTTCAAAGATTTTATTTATTAATTTGTCAGAGAGAGAGAGCGCACAAGCAGAGGGAGCGGCAGGCAGAGGGAGAAGCAGATTCCCTTCTGAGCAGGGAGCCCGATGTGGGACTCGACCCCAGGACTCTGGGATCATGACCTGAGCCGAAGGCAGACGCTTAACCGACTGAGCCACCCAGGCGCCCCTTGATATACATTTCTGCCTCACCCTGAGGCTGTTTCGTTTATTTTCTACTTTGCCAAGATGGCTGACAGCTCCTGGAGGTCAGGGCCACAGCCTGATCCTCAGTCCTGATCACTGACTCCCCAGCCTCCTAGCTGATGTTCGCGGCAGATTCCAGTCACCCCTGCACACCCTCTAATCATTGTCCCTCAAGGCTACTAATCGGATTCCCCGCCCCCAACACGGTTCTGTACACTGACCTCCACAGGCTTTCCAAATACTGTCCAGATTTCCCAATCAGCGTCTTTCACAGTTTCATCATCACTGACCCCCACACTGATCCCACCCTGAACCCCCAGCTTGGTTCCCCAAGGCTGACCAACCCTGAGGCCCAGACCCTGGCAAGGAGGCTGTCTGTGACCCCGCGCGCAGCCCCCCATCCCGGGAGTAAGTGCTGGTGGGGCAGGTGTGCATGGGCAAGCCTATTAGAAGAGGCCATTAGCTGAGGTCGTGAGTGTGGAGGGGGCTATAGCGGTGGGATGACTGGGAATGACCACATGACCCTGGATCAGTCACTGTCCTCACTGAGTGTCAGGTTCCCACTTTGCACAGTGGGGATTTTGACCTCACAGAGGTGTCGGGGGGTGAGGGAGTGGTGGAGAGAACTGGGTGGGAGGAAGGCTGTCAGACCCCCCCAGGCTCTGACCTGGTTGTTTCCCAGGTCCCCAGTGCGAACTGACTTCCGGGGGAAGGGAATCCATCTGCTGACCGTCAGTCCAGCTCCATCTGTACTCACTCCGGAGCGAATGATGACAACGACCACCCGTGTACTGCACCCAACAGGCGACACTGGATCCTGACTCTACCGCCCACACGGGCTCAGTGCAGGGGCCGCCCGCAGGCTCCTCCAGGGGGCAATGGAGCTGGGTTTGGAGGGTTAAAACACATCCCTTGCCCAGTGGGCTTCACTCCTAGCTGCACGTTGGGATCATCTGAGGAGCTTAGGAAATACCCAGATGTCTGAGGACACTCCAGGCCGATATAGCCAGAACTGTGGAGATGGGGCCAGGAGCCAAGCCCTTCCCACCCCCGCCCAGGCGATTCCAGTGTGTAGTGGGGTCGGGGGCACCGAGCTGGGTGCGGTCGAAGATATCCAGAGCAGGGAGGATGCATTCTCAGCACGGAAAGCGTCCGGTGTGGAGGCGGCTCCCGCTCCCGCGTCCGGCCCGCCTGTCCTCAGGACACCCTCGGGCCCCGGCCACAGCTCAGCGCGGCGCTGTACAGCGCCTTCCACATGAGCAACATCTCGTAGGGCGCGAAGCGGTGCACGACCAGCAGCTCGCGGTACAGGCAGGGGTCGAAGGAGGACTTGGCGGCGCCGGGCAGCTGCAGGCCGAAGGGCCGGATGCCCTGGTGGCTGCTGGGCGCCAGGCCGGCGCGCTTCAGACACATGCCCATGGAGGCGTCATCGATGGGGAAGAGCGGGGTGCGGCGGGCGGCCACGCGCAGGGCCCCGGCGGTGTGGCGGGACAGGAGGAAGCCGCCGCCGCTGCAGTACACCGGGGAGGCCTCCCCGGGGAAGAGCTGCGGGGGCACGAAGTACTTGCTCCCGCTGTCGCGGATGGGCACCGAGCCGTCCATGAGCTGCCCGGCGAAGAGGTGGCGCTCGGGCCGCTGCGTGCCCAGGAAGTGGAGCACGTTGGCGGTGTGCACGAAGACGTCGTCGTCACAGCTGAGCAGGAAGCGCGCGTGCGGGCAGCGCCCGGCCAGCCAGTCGAGCAGGTGCAGGTGCTTGAGCGTGAGGTTGAGGAAGGTGTCGGTGAAGGCCCACTGCAGCATGTCGCCGTGCTCGCGCGCCTCCAGCTCCACCAGCGCCGCCAGGCGGCCCGCGCTCTCGGCGTCCTCGCGCGCGGGCGAGCCCAGCAGGAAGAGGCGGCGCACCTGCCGCCCGTGGTAGCGGCGCTCCTGCCCCCACGTGCGGCGGATGAGCTCGCGCCGGTCGTAGTTGGCGGGCGACGACTTGACCGCCAGCAGCAGGAAGACCCCGCGGCGGCCCGCGCACTTGGCTGGCGCGTCCCAGAGCAGGGGAAAGTGGCGACAGTGGCGGTACCGCAGGAAGTCCTGGATGCGTGCGGGCAGCTGCTCGAAGTCGACCGTGGCGTTGACCGAGTCGTTGGCCACACACGGGGACCCTGAACTGAACGCCGACGGCTGCACGGCCGCAGGGGCCGCAGGGGCAGCCTCCGTAGAGCCATCCCACATCTTCTGCCGCTGGGACCTGGAGGCTTGGAGGAGCCAGAGGTGCAGGGCCAAGAAACTCACACCCACCAGAAGGAGGGTCAGAGGCTTAGGATTCAGGGACCTGCGGCAGGGAGAAGCCATCTGTGGGGGAAACCGAGTCAGAGGTGAACCAGGAGTCATGTTTGACATCAGTGGAAGGACACTCTGACCCCATCACGAACCAGGCCTGTCTCAACTTTGCTGCTACAAGGTCAAAGGAAACCACAATTCAAGATTACACGGAAGCATCTGGTGTCTCCCACGGTCTGGAGTGCTCTGACCTTTAGAATCTCATTGTCTCTCCACGTCTCCCCATGCCACCTAGGCGGAGCAGACTCACGTCAAAGTCAAAAATCTTCATCTTCCCGTGAATTCTTATCCTGCTTTTCCACCTCAGTCAATGGTACCACCATCCACCCAGTTGCTCCAACCAGAAGCCTGGGCTCTCCCCACACTCCACTTACATCCACGCTCCATATCCTTGAGTTCCTGCTTCCCAATCTCTGTGCTTATTCCCTCCTCTCCATCCCTGTCAGCCCTGACTCTCTCTGATCCATCTCCCCCCCCTTACCACCCTAGTCAAGGAAGCATGAGGTGATAGCATTGGACTCAGACCCAGGTCAGATTCTGGTGTCCCCACTTACTCGTATCCTCTTGAACAAGTCACTTCCGATCCCTAGGGTTGAGTGTTGTCTATAAGAAAGGGTTACTAGAGGGGCGCCTGGGTGGCTCAGTCGTTGGGCGTCTGCCTTCAGCTCAGGTCATGATCCCAGGGTCCTGGGATCGAGCCCCGCATTGGGCTCCCTGCTTGTCAGGAAGCCCGCTTCTCCCTCTCCCACTCCCCCTGCTTGTGTTCCCTCTCTTGCTGTCAAATAAATAAATCAAATCTCTAAAAAAAGAAAAGAAAAGAAAGCGCTAGTAGATTCCTACTTTGCAGGGTTGTTGGGAGCATTAAATGAGCACAAAGTAGCCAATCAGCGAGTGGCACTGATATTATGACCTCTTCCACTTCCTCTGGCCCCACTTCTTTTTCTTTCTGCCTGGCATTATTTTGTTCCCCAAACATGCCAAATCAGGTCTTCTTTGCTGTGTATCTAACTCCCCGCACCTGCCCGCTGCACCTCAAGCCCTGCTTTCATGAAGAAAGACAAACTCCAGATCACAATAGCCTTTCCTGTATTGACTCCCTGTGAATCCCATCACACTGGGTTCTGTCCTTAAAACACACTCTGCTCTGTTTCAGAGATGCTACTCTCTCCTGCCTTTCCTCCTCCCTCTTTAACCATGTCTCTCAATTCCCTTTGCTCATTTCCTCCTCTTTCCACCTTTAATAGTGGGAGGTGCCCAGGCTCTGTCCTAGATATCTCCTTTGCCTGGGGACCTCCGAGCTCCAGTGCCATATGTCCATCCAGCCACCTATTACCTAGCAGCTCCACGTGGTGGCCCACAGCCACTCCGGGTGCAACCTCTCATCTCCGTCCCCAGAGTTGTCCCAGAGTGTCACCACCCACTGTGTTTTTTGTTCAAGCCCCAAACTGTGATTGACTCCCTCCTTGTCTTCATCCCCCCACCCAAGCCCAGTTGATTTTAATCCCTAAATGTTTCATCAACCTGTCCACTTCCACTCCCGCTATCAACAGGCTAATCCAAACTAGCATCAGCTGCTCAGATGACATAGCCTCCCGCTCGGTCTCTCCACATACTTCCATGCTCTCAGCAGATCCCTCCTCCACAGTAGCTGGATTACCTGTGACCCGTGCAGATTTCATGCCACACCTCATGCTCTTTTCCTCAGCTTCCTACCGTCAGCCCCCTGCCCTGGCCACCAGCCTTAGCCTGGCAAAGCTCTTTCGGCCTTGGAGCTCCCCTGCCTGGATGGACCCCGTCTCCCTCCTTTGCCTCTTGTGTTCTTGTGTTCCTGCTTGTGTTCCCTCTCTTGCTGTGTCTCTCTCAAACAAATAAATATATTTTTAAAGATTTTATTTATTTATTTGACAGAGAGAGAACAAGTAGGCAGAGAGGCAGGCAGAGGGAGCCCGATGTGGGGCTCGATCCCAGGACCCTGGGATCATGACCTGAGCTGAAGGCAGCCACTTAACCGACTGAGCCACCCAGGCACCCCATAAATAAAATCTTAAAAAAAAAAAAATTTGTTGAATGAATACTTGGCCAAAGTATATGCTCAATAAATATTTTCAGATTGAGTCATTTCCGTATAGTAGGTGTTACTAGATTGAATTGTGCTCTAGTGCTTGTGTATTGTAGTCTATGCACAATGTCTAGCACAAGATGGGCACAAAGCAGGTGTTCAATGAAATAATGGCAGTGCCATGGGGCGCCTGGGTGGCTCAGTCGGTTAAGTGCCTGCCTCTGACTCAAGTCATGATCCCAGGGTCCTGGGATCCAGCCCCGCATTGGGCTCCCTGCTCAGAAGGGAGTTTGCTTCTCCCTCTCCCTCTGCCACTCCCCCTGCTTGTGTGTTCTCTCTCTGTCGAATGGATAAATAAAATTTTAAAATAATAATAATGGCAGTGCCAGTAACTACCCAAAAAAGTGAGAGATCCTTGCAAAAGTGTTGGTGCAATCACAGTCCATTAGAAATACTAGAGTTAGGCTCCTGTAGCTCTCAGTGTATTCCTGCTTCAGCGTTTGATGCACTGAGACAGGAGAGACAGCGAGATGGTCTAAGTCTACTTAATCATCGCTCTAGGCTCAGGGGCTTGTCCTGTGCCTAGCACATTTGCGGCAGGCCACATTTTTTTTAGTGAATGAAAGATTTTAAAAATGAATGAGAACAAAATTTGGAGGCTGAATAACTGGGACTGAGTCTCAACTGCTTTAGCTGTGGGACTTTGTGTCAAGTCCTGAATCTGTGTTTGAGTTTCAACTGAGAAATTGAGAAGGTTAACACTCATCCTTCAGTGCAATCAGGAGGCATTCTCTATCTTCTTTCTCCCTGCCCAGAATCATTTCCAGAAAGAAAAATCATCTCAGTCTTTTTTTATTTGACAGAGAGAGACATAGTAAGAGAGGGAACACAAGCAGGGGGAGTGGGAGAGGGAGAAGCAGGCTTCCTGCCGAGCAGGGAGCCCGATGTGGGACTCAATCCCAGAACCCTGGGATCATGACCTGAGCCGAAGGCAGACGCCTAACGACTGAGCCACCCAGGCACCCCTCGTCTCAGTCTTAATGCAACAGTAATTCTTGTCTCAAGGAAACTTGCATTTACTTTGATAAAGCTGAACCAGGAAGCTGAATCAGAGCCACTTTTTGATATGAGTAAGGAAAAGTTTGGGCTGGGTCCTGTCCTTGAGGGTGGTGCTGGTGTGTGGAACTGTGTTCCTGGATGCTGACACTGTGGAGCTTTGGGTGTCCTCTGTGGTTCTTTTTGCTGGATTTCCCCCTTTTCTCAGTGCACTCTTCCAGATCGCCTGCAGTCCTCACACCTTAGGCTTTCACGGCCTCTGCCGGCCCTGATCCCTCATCCCTCAGGACTCAGCTCAAGCACCACCTCCTGCAGGAAACCTGGTACGAGCTCAATTCAACGTGTCCTTGTTACCGTGGCTGCTGAATAACTAAGTTGGTAAAAGAGGCCATACGTGCCACGTAGGTGACCCTTTCAAGCCTCACATTCCTCATTTGTGGGAACATGGGCAAGTCATTTATCTCAGTGCCTCGGAGGATAATAGGATTTGATTTGTGTAAGGTGACCCATGCATGGCATGCAGTAAGTGGGTACTACAGTAACATTAGCAACTAACTAACACAAAAATGTTTATGGGGCAGAAGAGGATCATATAAAGTTCCTTTGTGACCCTGTCACTTCTTTCTCCATTTATTGTTCCATGCGTATGTTTCCTTTCCTTTGCAATGCTATTCACTCTGCCTGGGATTCTCTTTCTCATGTTCTAGGAACAGGAAAAGTTTCTGTTGGTTATTCCCTCCTCTGGTTTCATGCCGAGACGGATGAATGGAACACAGATTCCTGGGTTATCCACCAGCCCCATACCACCCTAAGGTATTCCTGGGGAATACATGCACAGTGGATATGGCAAGCAAACAAATTTTTTATTACTTTTGGCCCCAACTCCAAGCATGGAACCTTAACGCGGAAGTTTTGTCCTGGTTCCTTTCTCTCCCTGTCCTTCCTCTGGTTCTTGCTTCTCCCTCTAAGGAGAGGGGTGGCTGGGAGGGGGAGAAAATGCACCTCCTCACCAATGGGAAGCAGCCCAAGCCCCCGTCTTACCTCGAGTGTCTGAGAGAGAAGAAATAGACAGGAGCCGTCCCCAGACTGGGACCTACCTTCAACACTCTGCTTTTCACAAGCTGAGGCCCCACCCCCGGGACTGGGCTTGGTTCAATATTCTTGAATCTGACCAATCCATGACATCTATCCTCCTTGGAGGGAAGGTGAAGTGGAGACAGGTACAAGCTTCCTACAGTGACAGCTTACCCTTTGTGATGAAGCTAAATGCTATCTCTTCCGGTTTTGTTGACTCCACCCACGACTGCCTTGGCCTCTCCTGCAGTATGCCTGACGGAATCGTTGAATGCTGTATTTTCATGATCAGTTCTCCCTGCTGGACTGAGAGCAACTCCAGGGCCTGGGGCCTGTTCTGTTAACATAGGGTATGCTCTGGGGAATGCCTGGGGGGCTCAGTTGGTTAAACGTCTGCCTTCAGCTCAGGTCATGATCCCAGGGTCCTGGGATCGAGTCCCGCATCGGGCTCCCTGTTCAGCAGGGGGCCTGCTTCTCCCTCTGCCTCTGCACCTCCCCCTGCTTGTGTTCTCTCTCTCTCTGACAAATTAATAAAATCTTTAAAAAAATTTAAAAATATAGGATTTGCTCTGAAATCTTTGTTGGGGAAATTGTATGTAAAATGTTCATACAGGCATATTTTCTAAAGGCATTAATGACATCCGAGCATACTGTATTTGGCAAACGATCATGGGCTTCATCCCATTATCACTGTGAGTGGTCAATCAGACTCGGTCTTGGTCCTCAAGAGCTCACCATCTCTTGGGAGAGCCAGATATTGAATATTTATAAAGGGGTAGGATGCATACAAAACACAGAGAGGGAACTTGGAGAAGGGAACCTG